ACTCTAGAAATACTGGAAAATTCTAGAGTAAAAAATGAACATGCTACGACTCAAAAAATAAGCAGCACTTGTAGTGCCATTACTTTCGCCGGTGACTGTAATGTATTCTTAACTTATTAATAATTAAATTTTAAAAATCATTAAGTATTCTGAAATAGAGATTGAAATCAATTCTAATAAAATTGAATTTGTTATAACTAAAATTAATTTTATCTGAAATTAATCTGGTTGTTTAAAATTGAAATTCCTTTTAAAATTTCAGTAATGATTATATTGGTCAATTTCTATATAACTATTTTAATTTTAATTAAATTCTAATTTTAGATTATTAGTTGTCAAAATTAAGACATCCAAAATTAAACTTTAGATAGAATCTGAATTTCAGATATAAGATCATCTAAAATTAATTATCTTAAATAGACTTTAGATTAAATTTTAATATTAGATAAATTAGATATATATTTATAAATTAAATTAATGAAATATTTTTAACTATTTCTTTATTTATTTTTTAATTGTTTTAAATGAAAATAAAAAAACTAATAATTATTTCTATTTAAAAAGTTAATTATAAAAATTTATTACAATTTTTTTTAAGAAAATAATATTAATATAATAATTATCAATTAATTTTCTAAATAAAAATTTATCTATTACATTTTTTTCTTCTTAATTTAAAGCTCTGTTAAAGAATTTTCTTTTTTTTTTAATTTATTTTAATAAGACTAAAAAAGAGAATTTTAATTCTTAAGCATATTCTTTTTAAATTTTTACTTATAAGTAAATTCTTTAGAAATTTCTATTTTAATAAATTTCATCTTTATAGAAATCAATTCTTCAATCCTTTTTTTTTAAAGATTGATAATTATTTAAAGAAATTTAACTTCATTTTCTTTTAACAATCATCCTATATTTTTAACATTTTTTAATATTATTTTTATACTTTTTATAATATTATCTCATTTGTTGAAAATCTTTTAAACATTTTGAAAAGTAAGTTTGAAAAATCTTTTTAAATTAGTAATATTAGAATAAAATTATGAAAATTTCTTTCTTCTCTTTGTCTTCTTTATGTTTATAAACTTTTAGAGAAATATTATATAAACAAGTAGTAATAATGAGTTTAAATATAAAATGTTTAATAAAATATTAATATTAATGATATATATTTTGAAGACTTTAAAGAAAATTAAGAAATATTTGAATAAGATAGAATTATAGATAATTTAAAATATATTAAATTTACATTATGTATAATTAATTGAAAGTATAATATGAAAAATTAATGAAACTAAAAAATTATAAAATTAGTTTAGTATAAAACAAGTTGATAGAGATGCAATCAAAGAAATTGTTAGCATTTTATTAAGTTTAGGAGTATATAACTCTCATTTTTAATTTGATAATAAGTATCTTTATAAATTATAAAATAAATAATAAAAAGATTTTATTTAAAAAATTATTCAATAATAATATTAGTGCATTTTTTATAATAAATATTGCTTTTTTCTTAAGGTAGAGGATATATATTATATTCTTAATATTTAAATAAATAAATAATCAAGTTCAATGTATTGGATAATATAAATATAAAATATTATAAAATATTTACTAGTAAATAAATGGGTTTTTAATGATATTAATTATGATAAAAATGCTTTTGTTATGAGTATTACAAAAGTTTAAATGACTATTTTTATTATTATTCTAAAAGGATAAAAGTAAAACATTATATATTTTTTATATGCTAATTTTATATGAAAAAAAAGTTAAAATATTTGAATAACTAATTGATTAATATTGTACAAATAGAAAGCAATGACAAAAAAATATATATTAATAAAATTTTTCAAAGTTCTTCTTTCCTTTGCTGACTAATATTTAATTCTAATTTTATTATTATAACTTTTATTCTAATTATTATAAACGAATATTTCAGTTTATTTATGATAAAGATTAAAAAAAATTAGAAATAGAAGATTTCAAAGCTAATATACTTTCTTTTCTAGTCATTTTTGATAGTTTCAAAATTAAAGTCAATTATATTTAAAGTTAAAAAAGATATGAATAAACATTTTTGATTAAAATATATTAATATAGGAACTGGTTATATATTAGAACTAAAATTATAAAATTCATAATAAATAAAGTTGCTTGTTTAAACTCATTTGAATTTGATAAAATATTTAAATCTTTAATTTGCTAATTTTTTATTAAAATTTTAATATAATTTTGCCATTATTATAAGTTTTGATATTGCTTTATCTTTTTCTGACTTTTGCAAATTTTTAATAAAGTTTTAATATAATTTGACAAATATTAATAACTGATCTTGCAACTATATTAGCATTATATTTTTTTTAATATCATGCTTGCTATTGAATAATTTTGTTCTTTATTTCAATACATAAAATAAATTACCAGATTTTATTTTGAATACGAGATGATTCATTAATAGAAATACTAAGAAATTTGTTTGTAGTTAATTTAACTAGATTGGAAATAGCTAGTTTAGAAATTTGCTTATGCCAGTAATAATGCGTTCCATTGAAAGCCAATTTTTTGAAGATTTACCTATTAAAAACTCGTATATTAATTTTGTACATTCTATAGTTGCAATGCATTGAAAAACATGATATATATATATATATATATTTTTGGTAACAATATAAGAATATTGCAAAATAATTGGCTATATCGTTAATCTTTTTAACAATAAAAGAAAATTAAAAAAATGATAAAATCATTAGCTAACACTTTGATAATTTGTTGACTTTTAAAGAAACACTGACAAAATCGATACATTTTGATTTAAAGATTAAATTAAAATTTTTTACGAATCGGTTCTTAATGAAACCTTACAAACCGTTAATGATAATAAGTTTAGATAATTAAAAAAAAAAAATCACACGATAAATTAAAAGCAAACCTTCCCAAATCGATTTATATTATTTTTTCAATTAGAAATTAGCTCAATAAAAAGTTTAAATTTTAAAAAAAAAACTGATTTTTATATAGTAAATTCTTATTTAAAACCCAACCCAAATAAAGTCTGCGAATGTATTCATTTAATAATTCTAGTAAAGTAATTTTTTCCGTAGAATTTTACCAAAATTAAATCTTTTTCCAAATATACAAGTTTCTTGTATTTATAATTCTGAATTAGTGATCTCAATCAATAAATAAATGGTGATCAGAAGTATTCCTAATAAACTTACATATTGAAATTTGGAATAAGCTAAAACTTATTGCACTGTCACTTTACCTTTATATTAAAAACAACTGATAAATTTATTACGTTAGTGAAGTTTATAACGCTTAAGATGTCATTATGATTACGGCTTAATTTAATAAAGTTCCTGACGCAAAGATTGATGGACAATGAAAAATTAATGATTTATATATCAAACTATAAATAGATAATATTCTATTTATAAACATTTTGTAATGTAAGCAGAAGGTTTTTATTGAATAATTGTGACAAAATATTTATTTAATAATATAAATTAATCAGTGTTGCCTCAACGTCGGTGTTCTACACTTTCGTTATGTCAATATAAGTAAATGCCAATCAATAAATTCTACGAAATTGAATAATAAAATAATAAGAAAAATTGGAAATTAAAAAAAAATAAACGAAGTTATAGAATTGAAAAGTTAAAAACGGCGAAAGCGAAAATATCGCGAAGGGACTAAAGGAAGGTTTTCAAGGTGTATATATGCAAAATACAAGAAGGATGAGCGTAGAATGTTAAGTTGTTAAGGATTTCCGGCTTTATTTATAAAATAAAATAATTATTGACAACAGCTGGCAAATGTAAATATCGAAAGCGATTTACATGCGAAATTATGGAGTTTTCGGGCAAAATTATATTCAATGTAACAATATCAAGCTAAGATTGATTGGTGTTAACTGAAATGTCAAAAAAATTTTTAAATTCTTATCTTTAATAAAGGCGTTGTTTCTGCCTGCTTAGCTTCTTAAGGATTAGTATGACGTTTGGGATCTCAGATTTGACATTTTTTTTTGTCATCTATAACATCTTCCGTTAATTTTATTAAGAGTGTAAGCGGTGGAAAGCCAGGATCATCATCAAAAAATCCTCGGACACATGATTTTAGGTACACGTGATTTGATTTTATAGGTGGCTTAGTTGATAATAAAATATTAATTTCCTTAATATATGAATTATTTTAATGCTATGAACTACTGTAACTCTAATTCTACGTAACTAATCGCAAATGTAGCGTAGCCGTTGTCTATGTGGTCTGCGGCCAGCTTTTCTAGCAAACCTTCCCTTTTGAATCCTAATGCCACGTCCTAACCCTAATACCACTTCCTAACTCTAATGTCATGTCCTAACTCTAATAAGAAAAAGCGTATTAAATGTTAACGTGATGTGTACAAAAAAGCAAAATACCATAAGCATTCCAAAGTTCTTTTTGAAATACGTGTCATACCAATAGAAATTTCAATAGTTTCACTATGACGTTTACGATAGAAAAATCCTTTTTGACAACAGTATTCAGTAAAAAAATTTAAAGCTTCATCCTATGTTTGAAAGCTTCTTTCAACAGATAAAGCTAAATCTAAAGATCCATAATCTGAACCTATTTCTTCCATTTCTAGATCAGAATTATAATTATTCTCCATAATTATCAGTTATTTAAACTGTAAGGATATAAGGTTCAAGATGAGAGCGAGAGAACAATGTTGATCAGTGTTAAATCAATACAATACAATAAATAATTACGTAATAATTTTGAATTTTAATAAATTTAAAAAATTTTAAAATTTAAAATTACGTAATCATAAATAGGAAAGTTAAAATAACCCCGGTTAATCATAGTATTTCTATATAAATTATATTATTGAAAATAATGTAAGAAAAATTTATAAATTAGAAAATTTAATTTATTAATGCAATAAATAATGTTAATTAAAAATTTTTGCATTGTATCAAATAGGAGTATTAATTAATCGAATTATAAAATTTAAAAAATTTATTATTTTATTATCTTTTTATGGTTGGTTTATTTTGATTTAAAGCTAATTTGTTGGTTCTATTTGACTCTTAAGTAAATTAACTTTGAACGTTAAGTTAAATTTATACTTATATAGCATCATGTGATGATCAATTTAAAAAATTTTTTTATCAAACGAATGCGGCTATTATTCTCTTTAATTTGATAATAATCAGATTTTGACCCGACTCTTGGAACCGGTCCGGAGTCGTTTCCGGTTCGATTCTTAAAATTGGTTAAAAATGGTTTGTAATTCAGGAAAACCCAGAATATGCTGAATTTATAATCGGTTCCAGAACCGAATCGGAGTCGCTCTTTTGAACCGTCCCCATAGCTGCGACGAAGTTTTAAAAAATCCATAAATGTATGGAAATTATCACATGCTTCGCCACATTGTCCATTCTACATTCTATAGAAAGTTTAATAAAATGATCAGCTTGCATGCAAGTTTAAGTTTCGACTGAAAATATAAAGCTTTACCCGCAACCTTTCTAAATTCTGAGGTGGAATTTATTAAATCTTTACTCAATAATCTTATTTATTAGGCTACTTGATTTATAAATCGTGATGGATGCAAACTTTTATCAGAATTTGTAATTTAATTTTATTTAGGACTACCAAAATTTGATCAGAAAATCTCGTGAAACGTACAAAAAAAAATCGTGTCTGTCATACATTAAAATAACGTGTGTGGCTTATTGATTAACGTTACATGTACATATTTTTTTTTTTTTTTTTTTTGTTTTTCTCCAAAAATTTTAACAAAACTTTTAAATTAACATGCAAACTTCCAACAATTCTAATGAGTGGTTTAATTGGATTGAAAGAATCTATTTCAAGTAAAAGTATCAAATACTACGAATATAAACAATTTAGTAATTTTAAAGAGATTGGTAAAGGCAGCTTTGGAAAAGTCTATCGTGCAAATTGGAAAAGTTCACATCTAGCTTTAAAATCATTTCATAATTTTAACGATGCCACTGTTAAAGAACTTGTTCGTGAGGTAATTTATATACAATATGTTCTTCAGTCTATTTTGGTCCATTAAGTAAAAATCGTTTATATTTCAAGCTAAAATTATTTTTATAATAATCTAGCTTGAACTTCAACGGGAAGTTGATTTTCATAGCAATATCATTCGCTTTTTGGGAATTACATCATCGAACCAAGGTATAAAGTTTTAAATAATGGATTAATTATAGTTTATATTGACTTTTAAATTTGAATTTTAATAAAATAAATTTAGAAAATCAAAATGAATTGATAAATTATTGGTTAGTAATGGAATATGCTGATGGTGGTGCGCTTAAAAATTATTTGAAAGATAATTTTGATAAGCTTGCTTGGGGAGATAAATATAACTTGGCATTCCAGTTGGCTAGTGCTGTATCGTGTTTACATGACGAAGGAATTATACATCGTGATTTGGTATGGTGTCCTAATGTCAAATATATTTATTATGAACATTTCTTTTAATAATTAATAATATATTTTTTCTTTATATTAATAGCATTCAGACAATATTTTAATCCATCAAGGCGTTATTAAACTAGCAGACTTTGGTCTATCAAAAAGGATTGAAGTGACAACTAATCAGTCAAAATTATTTGGTGTAATTCCTTATATTGATCCAAACAGGTTTCTTAGAGCAAGAAAAAATGACAAAGCATCGATACAATTTACACTAAACAAAAAGAGTGACGTTTACAGTGTTGGCGTGCTCTTATGGGAACTATCAAGCGGTCATCCACCTTTTCATGCTGATGGTGAAGAATATGACATTTGTTTAGCTATAGAAATTTTACGAGGACGTAGAGAAAGTATCGTTCCTAGTTCATCTGAAGATTATATGAAAATTTATACTGGTAAATATATTATTTATTAAAAAACTAGATTTTATTTCTACAGTTGTTAAATTTTTATATGATTCTAGAGTGCTGGGATATTGAGCCAGAAAATCGTCCAGATATGAGTCTAGTAGTTGATCAATTAAATTCAATTATTACAAAATCAAACGTTAAAGAAAATAAACAAATGAATGTTGATGATGAAGCAAGCCTTCAATACCGTTATTCTAGAAGTGTTAGTATTAATAATTCACTAGATAAAATGAAAATAGAAGAATTTGATGATATTAGTTTAACGATTATAGATCTTAATAAGAACGACATACCAGAGGGTGAACAAAAGGAGCTGCACACCTCCATTCTAGTAAAGTCATATGATCACAATAACAAATTGCGTTTACATGACACTTAAGTGTTTACTTATATTATAAAATAAAAAAATAACAAATTTGTTTTTTTTTAATAAATTTTTCTTCTCTGAAAATTTAAAAAAAATGGTAAAAACCAAAGAATTAACTGCAATGATTTTTTAAGCGAAAACAATCTTCATACATTATCTTGGCTAGCTCAAAGTCCTGATTTTAATCCAATTGAGAATCTTTGGGCTGAAGTCAAGAAAAGCATCTGAGCTTATAAAAAACCTTTATCTAATCTTGCTGATCTTGACTGATATGTTAAAAAGGCATAGCAGAAAATTCTGAAGCATATTATCAAAAATCTAGTCGATAGTATGTCACAACGAATTCAAGCAGTGATTGCAGCAAATGGTGGTTTAACTAAGTACTAGTAGTTACTTAGTACAAAATGTAGATATTAATTGGCTTTAAATAAAAATTAATTGACTTTTTATTTGTTATTGTAAAAATATTTTAAGTTTTATATTGAATGAAAAAGTGTGCAGATACTTTTGTCTACCCTCTGTACTATATACCTCAGGAGAATTACAAAGATATTGCAAATTAATTAAACTCTTTTGCAATTTTATTAAAATTACTAGCTTACCAACTTTACCTAACTCCTTAACTAAACTTGAATATAATAATATTCCTATGATGCATAACATCTATAGTCATCAATTAGTCTGAAATTTTAATTGCTGGTTAAGTCACGTGAAATGATTTTTATTGGTCAAAAATTAAAATTTTTTTTACATGAAAAACACGAAAAATGCAAAAAAATTATTTAATTTTATTTAATTCTTCCAAAATTCTGTCCAGAATTCTTCTATCAGATTTATACTTCTTGACGGCATATTCTGCCAATTTACCACTAATACCTTTTCTATAAGCATCCATATAACGCCAACAATTTCTTGCAAATTTTCTAATCATAACTAAAGGTACTGAATCAAAGCTTTTAGATACCATCTGTTGTAACCCATTTCATGAATAATCACAATTTTCTCTTACATATCTATTAGAAGCCCCCAATATCTTTCAATAAAATTTAATTCACAATGAAACTTAAAGTAAAAGATACATTCATATTCAGCCTTTTTAATTAACTCTTCAATTACTCCCCTTTGTGCAAGAAAATCAGGCTCTAAAAATAATATCCAGCGAGCATAACAAGAAATTCTAGATTCATCTTGAATTTTTTTTTTACAAACTTTACATTCTAATATCAATCCTTCAGGTGGCCATTTTTCTCGCTCTATTAATACCTGTTTAATTCCCTTTGGTGGCTGTCAATCTGGTCTAAAATAGGTATCACTCATTATTGGTTGTTTACTACTGGATTTTAGATTCATCTGACTTGCAACTAAAGCATCCTTTCTAAATACACCATGGTTTGAACTATTATCAAAGGCAAATATTGCAATACAATTTGGATACAAAGTTTCAAAAATAGGAATTGCTTTGTATTCAATTTATTCAAGAAGGTGTTCAGCTGTCCAATAACCCTCTTGATTTTTACAAGGTTTTAAGTAACATCGTGCTTCTTTAGGTATATTTGAATGTTTCATTACATCATCTGGTTGTAAATATAAATGTCCATCAACTTCTGTAAGAAATTCACTAACCATTATAGATCTTTCATTTCCTTTCTTTCGTAGTGATAATTCTCCATTCTTAGTCCATACTTCGCGTTTACCATCATTGGAATAAAAAATACATTCATTATGAGTTACAAGAATCCGTTCTTTTTCTCTTTCAAGTAAATTAGGATATATACGATCCATTGCTTCCCCTTCATATTTTGACATGTATTTTTCATGTTCAAACATTTCTTTAAGAAATTTTTTACGATATTGTATAACATCATCCCGTTCATGTCTATCATAATATATACCTTGGCAGTGTTGTTGAAATGAAAAATCAAGAATATTAAGCCATCTTGTTACTGTCATTAAAGTGATAGATTTTTTCACAATATTAGTACTGAGTAATAATTCTTGCTCAACGAATTCTTTAAAGGAAGCTGGTGTAATTTTATAATTTTGTTCACAAATCTAAATTTGACATTTTTTAGCTACATCTTCATCATCAATTATTCTAACAGATTTTTGATGTTTCCCTTGTTTAAATATTAGAAGTTTGTTATAACTCAACCAATATTTTGCAAGATATCAAATACGTCGTGCTTTCCATGAACTACCATCAACAAAAACTATTTTGACTGCCTCTAAACTAGCATGCACCTTCCCACTATCTAAATAAGTAAGATATTTAAAAATAGCCCTTTTTGAATTTTATTTGATAACTAACATTTTGCTATGTTACTTTTCTAATTGTTTTTTTAATGATCAGATTCTTTCATCAATTTGGTAAGTACAGCACTC